CCTTGACCCTGCCCCCACCCCCGCCAGGCACCCCGTGGCCCGCGGCCACAGGACGGTGATGACATGGTGCCTAGCAGATGTTATGGCTTTTGTGGGCGGCGATCAGCACCCTGCCCGCTACCAGCCAGCCCAGCAGACAGAGCCCCCCGGGCCAGGTGTCCACAGATCGTCGGGGCCGCTCCCTCCACAAGTCCCCGCGGGCGCCGCCGGCCACCCGGCGCTTGCTGGCGGCGCGGCCACCCGCGGCGCCGGCAGCCGCGGCGGCTGGGCGGGCAGGCAGATGCTCGAGCAGTCGTTTGCGCGGACGGGCTTGCGTGATGGGGTGCTTGGTGGGGGGAACCAGCGTGCAGCCGGCAGTGCCGAGCTGCAGCAGCAGCAGCAACAACAGCAGCAGCAGCAGCAGCAGGCAGTGCAACAGCAGGCGCTGCAACAGGAAACGCAGCAACACGAGGAGCAGCATCACCAGCAACAACAACAGCAGCAGCAGCAGCAGCAGCAGCAGCAGCAGCAGCAGCAGCAGCAGACGTACATACACCAACAGCAGCAGAAGCAGCAAAAGCAGCAAAAGCAGCAGCAGCAGCGGCGGCAGCGTCAAGGAGAGCGCGCAGGCACCACACGGGCCCAGCGCGCGCGGCCGGCGGTGCACCGCCTGAGCCCGTGCACCCGGAAGCTCACCATGCAGTGCGCGCGGTCTGTGCAGCGCCACGCGCGCCTGGGCAAGATGGTGCACCTGCCATCAGAGACCGACGGCCAGGCCGTGGCGGCGCTCAAGGCGCTCGCACACGCGCGCTGCATGGCGCTCGCGCACGGGGGGCCGGGGCTCGCCTTCCAGCTGGCCGTCGGGAAAGAGCGCCCAGCGGCGCCCGCGCGGGACGAGGAGGCGGGGGCGGCGGTGCTCGCGGACAGCCGCAGCAAGACCGGCGGCAGCGGCGGCAAGGACGCAGTTGGTGGCGGGGCCTCGCGGCTGGTGTTGGTGGCTGCGCAGGTCGACGAATCCCGACTGCTGCGCTTCGACCCCGCGCCCCTGATCGCGTCGCGGCACGGCGGACCCGAGCGGCTCGCCACGGCGCTGCGCGCGCGCGTGGCCGCTCAGGGCTTCGCCACCGTGCGCGCGCTCGGCCCCGAGGCTGCGCGCTGCGCGCTGGCCGCGCTGGCCCTCTCCCAGAAGCAGCTGCGGCGCCGCGGCGGCGACCTCTGTGTGATCCCGATGCGCCACGTCATCGAGGCTGCAACCGCCGCCGCGCTGCAGCAGCAGCGGCAGCAGCAGCAGCAGTGGGAGGCCGGCGGCGGCGGCGCCCTGGCGTCGTACCACGACCTGCCAATGGTGCAGGGGGGGCAGCAGCACCAGCAGTGGGCGGATTCATGGGAGGATGCTGACGAGGACGACCCTCGGCTGGTCACGATGATGTCACTGCACGTCGTGCGCTGCGCTCCCGCGACTGGCGCCGGCGCCGCGTGGGAGCTGCAGCCCTGGGCGCTCGGGGCGCCGCCGCCAGCGGCTGCGCGGCGCGCCGCGCGCGCGCTCACGCCGCCCGCGGCCGCCGCGGCGACGTGGCTGCCCGCGGGCGACACTGTCCCGGCCGCGGCCCCTGCCGCCGGCGTGGCCGCGGCCGAGCCCAATGGCGCGTCGCTGGTGGGAGACATCGGGAGTGAGCATGGGGAGGAGCTGCACCCCGGGTTGGTGGTGCTATCGGCCTCGAGCGGCGGCCACGCCGCCCGCCGCGCGCACACCAGTGAGTGGGCGGCCGAGCCCGTTCAGGCCACAGCGCACCTGGGGGCCTGAGCCCAGTTGCCGGCGCCGCGCTGGCGCTGGGTTCTGTCGTCATCTGTTCAGCGAGTTTGGCCCCGCACTCACGCGGGTCGGGGTCTCTGACGCTGCCTTGTAACTCTAGTGACCCGGCTGCAGCTCACCCCAGGAGCTCGCCGGCGCCGCCCTCCGCCCCTTGTCTTTTGGTGGCTGGACAGCTGGCGCCAAACTGCCAGGTGGCCGTGGGAAACTCCTTTCATTGGTCCCTGTTTGAGTGTTGGTGTTGCGAGTTTGCCCGCCCGGCCAACCGAGCGGCCGCCGCGGCCGGCTATGGTTGACCGGGCCTGTGTGCATGGGGTTCGAGGTGGCCCCCCACTTTTGCTGGCGCCGCGCCCGCGATGGGTCGCGCCGGCCGCCTCTCCTGCTGTTTGTACAGGGCTGCTGTTTGAGGGCATGAGCTCTGAGATGTTGGTGCTGCCGCAATCTTATGGTGCTGCGAACCAGCTGCACGCTGCTGTGCACCACTTATTGCCTCGAGCGGCGCCGATTGATTGCAACTCTGAAGGGGCGGGCGGTTGTAAGTAGAGAGATTGATGTGGTGACGAGGTGACCCGTGCTGTTGTAATTAACAAGCTGTGCTTGCGGGTGATGTGGACGAGGTTCGCCAGGCAGGCAGCGGTCTCGCGCTTCGGGAGGTGGATGCTCTTGAGCTCGTTACCAGCGCAGATACCAGATACCTGCCAGCGCAGGCACTGCTTGACACCACAATCTGCTTTGGCCTGACGTGGAGGGGTGCAGACCGCCTATCAAGTCATGTGAAACGGACGTGGCCCGACAGCTGCGCACAAGGCAGCTTCCGTTTGGTAGGGGCATTCTATGCAACGCCCAGGCGGCTCAGTGGTGGTCGTGAGGACAGGCGGCCCGGCGGGGGAGGGGGAACGGAGGGACGACTGGCAACGCAGCGGGGTGCTCAATTGCGTGCTGGCTTCGCAAAATGACTGATTATTGAGGACCATAGTGTGCCAGCAATGAAGGGTATACGTGTCTTGTTTTGTTCACTGCCGGCGCACCGGGCGCTCACACACACACATGGTCCCCGGCACCCGTGAGCAGGTGAGCACACCCCAGCACATCACATGTTTCGCTGCTTCGAATCCCTCAGGGTTTGAGCGAGCTTGCAGTGCAGCAGCCTCACACAATATGTTTACAATCTTCAATACAACATAATTGGCATAAGCCGCGGCATATACCGATGCACCCTGTGCACACGTTGAAAGAATAGCAGGACCGGGGTGGCCTCGCCGTCTCCATGGGAGGGACGTGGGCGCTTGCCCTAGCTTATGGCCTGACTAGAGCGGGGGACGCCCCAGCACCTGCATGCGATCCGCCCAGCGTGCCCGCAGCAGATCGATGCGCCTATGTACTGGAGAACGCAGGCGTCTGCTGGCCGGACGGGGGACTGGAACACTACCTACGCATCCATTACTGTTGGTTCGCGCCCGAGTGGTGAGCGGCGGAGAGGCGGGTGCTGAGGCACATGGCGTCCTCGTCGTCGCTGCGCTCAACAGTCAACGCATGGGGCCCGCAGCGATCCCCCACGGCGTGCACATGGTCGCAGCGGCCAGTCACACGCGCGCCTGCATGCCGTAACAGCAGTCCAACACCCGCACGCTTCCGCGTCCCCACGGCGCGCCGCGCCCCGCACGCCCACCGCTGCTTTCCCTGCGGCTCATCCCCCCCCCCCAGGCGCTGGGCCTCGCTCCTCGTGCTGCTGCTGGCCCTCATAATTACATTCGGCTTCCTGCTGACCGCCGCGGAGCGCTTTTTCTGCCCGGCCCTCGAGATCATTGCGGAATACCTCAGGATGCCGCCGGCAGTGGCGGGCGCGACGCTGCTCTCGTTCGGCAACGGCGCGCCCGACGTCTTTACCATGCTCGCCGCCGTCAAGCAGGCGCGCCCCGCGCCCCACAGACCTAACGCCGCCCCGCCCCGGCGCCGCGCGCCTGCCCGTTCGCCCCGGCATGGTTCGCTCCAGCGGCGCGTGCTGGGCAGCTGCCCGGCAGCCGCGACTCGCCGCCTCGCGGGCTCCCGGCCTGCATCAACGCCCCGCCCCGCCCCGCCCCGCTCCGGCCCTGCCCCTCCCCGCAGCTCGACCTGCCGGCCATCGGCATGGCGCTGTCGGAGCCCGTAGGCGGCGGCCTGTTCACGTCCAACATTGTGTTTGCCGCGGTGGTGCTGCTGTCGACTCGCAACCAGGCGCTGCAGGTGCACAAGGCCCTGCTGCTGAAGGACCTGCTCTTTTACCTCCTGGCCCTCGTGACCATCCTCGTGGCCATCTCAGACAGCAAGGTGCGGCAGAGGGGCGGCGGCGCGCGCCGGCGCCGACGCCGGGTGCCTCGAGGCAGGGGAGGCGCGGGCGCCTCTTCCCCGACGGCCGCTGCCGCCGCAGCTGACTGCGGGCCGACAGGTGCAGGTGTGGCCCTTGCCTCGCATGAGTCATGGTCAGGCAATGAGTCGAACGCACGGGCCCCCGCGGCTGCCGCATCGCGCAGGTCGAGTGGTACGAGGCGGTCGCGCTGGCGCTGTCGTACGTGGCATACGTGGCCGCCACCGCGTGGCTGGCGCGTGCGGACGAGCCGGTGCACCTGGAGGCAGCGCGCCACGAGGTGCCGCCCGGTGAGCTGACCCCGGCGCCGCCTGACCGGCGAGGGCGGAAACCCAAGCCCGCACGGGTCAAACGGGGCATGCCCCAATGTGTTGCGGTGCGCGTGGTCGCGTGGCGGCTCCTGCCTGCGCACGCGTTCAGGAGGGTATTCGTGCCTTGTGCCTGCGTGGCTGCCCAGTTTGGCGTTCAACGCCGACTCCGCCAGCCGACCCCCACCCTTTTGGCATCCCATTGCAGCGGACGCCTATTATCTAGAGAGCGAAAGCCAGGCGGGGGACCCGCGGGAGCGCGACGAGGAGAGCGGCGGCAGGGGCGACTCTGCCTTCGATGAAGCCCTGCGGCGGCCGCTTCTGGAGGGCGCGGGCGGCGCGGATGCCCCCGTAAATGGCGGCGGCGGCGGCTTGGCAAACGGCGGCGGCGCGCGGAAGGGCGGCGGAGGGGGCGGGCACGGCGGCGGCACGGCCGGCGCGGCGGGCCCTGCTGTATCATCAGGGGGCAGCTGGAGCGGCTTCGCCGGCCCACCCCCTGAAGCGGCGCCCACTGTGGTGGCGGCGGTCGCGGCGGCAAACGCGCAGCAGGCCGCCGGCGGCGGCGGCGACCCGGCGCACCCGGACTCCCGCGGGGCGGCGCAGCGCGCGGCGGCAGCGGCGATCCTCAGCCGTGGCGGCGGCGGCGGCGGCAGCGGCGGCCTTGGTGGCGGCAGCGGTCAGGAGACGCCTGGCAGCACGCCGCGTTGGAGTGTGGGCGGGACCCCCAAGGCTAAGGGTGCGCACAGGCACGCCAAGCGGCCGCTGAAGCGGCAGCTGCAGCAGCCGTTCATGCAGCTCATGAAGTGGACAATGCCAAAGGTGGGGGCATACGGACGTGCTGTTAGAGTGCACGTGTGCGCGCATGTGTGTGTCTGTGTGTGCGCGCGCGCGCGTGTGTGTGTGTGTGTTTTTGAGTGTGTGTGTGTTTTTGTGTGTGTGTGTGTGTGTGTGTGTGTCAGAGAGAGAGAGAGAGAGTGCACGTGTGCGTGTGCCTGTGTGGGCACGTGCAGGAGCCTGCCTGCATGCACCCTTCATCCGCGCAGGCTCTCTCCAAGAGCATTCGGCAGTATGGGGTCACAATTCCCGGCAGCTGTGCGTGCGGCATAGCCCCCTTGGATACTGCCTAGTCCAGGGGTTCAGGGTAAAGGCTGCGGGCGCACCTGTTGGCACCATGTTCCTGCCCTGTCCTTCGTCGTGGGCCTGACGAAGGACATCCCACAGCGCGTGAGCGCACCCATGTACGACCGAAACACACATAACCAGATTAGAATGAACATCACGCACGCACGCACACATGCGTGCCCATGCACATACATACACACATGCGCGCACGCACGCGCGCGCACACACACACACACACACACACACACACACACACACACACACACACACGAATACACCCAAAAACGCCCATCACAACACAGATCGGCCTGCCTCCAAAGTACCAGTACCCGCGCTCCAGGGCCGCCCTCCTGCCGCTCACCGCGCCGCTGCTCATCCTGTGCATCGACCCCGCGATCTCCCGCGCGGTCACGTGGGGCGGCGTCGCGTGGGCGGCGGGCACGGGGCTCATGGCGTCGGCAATGATCTGGGCGATGTACCCCGAAGACAACATTCCAAAGTCGCCCCTCAAAGGTGTGGTCCAGTGTGTATCGTACGTGCAGCATGTGCTGTGGAAGGGCTGGTGGACCCTCGGCAACTCATGTGCATCGGCAGCTGCCCACGCCTCGGGCGGCCGACCCTCTCCCTGGGGCCCCGCCGGGGTCGCGGCCTGCCGCTTCGCGCCGTGCGAGCCGGCGCCCCGGCACCCTTCGACCCCTTCCCGCCCTCCCCCTCTTCGCCTTTCCCATCCCGCGGCGCTGCAAACCTCAACACCATCCTCTGTAAACCAACCAACCGCGCAGGCGTCTTTGCCGTCCTGTCGTTCGGGCTCAGCATGGTGTGGCTCAAGCTGTCTGCTGATACGGTGGTCCACATCTGCATGGTGCTGGGCATCATATTCGGCGCCCCGCCGGCGCTGTTGGGGGCGACGGTGCTGGCCTGGGGCAACTCCATGCCGGACATGGCCAACAACCTGTCCCTGGCGCGTGATGGGTGCGTGCGTGCGCGCGCGCGCGCGTGTGTGTGTGTGTGTGTGTGTGTGTGTGTGTGTGTGTGTGTGTGCGCGCGCGCTCGCGCGCGAGCATGCTTTGACCGGGCGCGCTGCATGATGCCGTGGCACCAGTCGCCGGCCGCGGCGCCCTTGCGCCTGGTTGCGGCACTGACCACGCTCAAAACAACCAAATCGCGCGGCGCCGCCGCCCGATGGAAGCCGGTGCAGCGGCCGCGTGCGCGGCGGCGGCGCGCCTGGGCTGCGTCCCCTCACTCTACCATCCCAGAGCCCTGCAGTGGAACTGCTTGGTATCCTCAGGATTGTGAGGCTCATTCATCAACGCATTGGTATTGTTACCCATTGCCTCCCCCACTTTTGTCCTGTCAACCTCTTCTGACCCCCTGTGCCCCCTCCCCTGGCCCCCCCCCGGGCAGATACCCCACGATGGCCATCACCGCGTGCTTCGCCGCGCCCCTCTTCACGCTCCTGGTCGGCACCAGCAGCGCCATGGCGTACGGCGCGCTCACCTCGGGGGGCGTGCTGGCGGTGCCCTTCGACAAGATGCTCGCCGTCATGTACGGTAGGCGGGGTAGGGTGCGGCACGCCGCGACGTGAGGGCGCGTTGGGCGCTGGACGGCGGTGCTGTCGGTCGGGATGCGCAGCCCGGTCGCATGTGCCGCAAGGCAGCCGCACGGAACGGTTCGTCGCTATGCATGGTGACGTCATCGCTCCCCCCGGCCCCTCCCCGTTGTACCCCCTGATGTGTGACCCCTCGGTTGTGCCAACGGCCCATCCCATCGCTTTACGCAGGGTTTGCCATTGCCAACCTGTGCAAGTTCTGCCTGCTGATCCCGCTGGTGCACAAATGGGTGCTGGGACCCGGCCTCGCGATCACGGCGCTGGCCTTTTACTTTGTATACACAGTCATCTACTGCCTCGCGGTTGCGGACGCGATCTGATGAGGTCTGTTGCTGCGGTCTGTTGCTGTGTGATTTGGGCCATCGCGAGCGGCGCGTGTGGCGCAGCTCGCGTGCGCCTGCGAGATTGAGCCTGCCGCGTGTGACCTGAATGGGAACACGGCGTGCGATGACAGAGCGGCGGCTGCAGCGGCGTGGGGGCGCGCGTTGCGAGCTCGTCTGACCTTGCAACATCAGCCGACCCCGCCCACCGCCACCTCCCAGTCTCCACGCACGCCCGCCTCCATCCTCCCGCTGCCCCCGGCCCGCGCCGTTGCGATGTCGGAATCTCAAGGGAGCGCGCCGCCCGACGCGCGTCATTCGTTGCCTGCCAGCCCGTGCGCGCCGCCTTGGTGCCCCGGCGGCAGCATCCCCTTCGACTTGGATGATGCGGGCTCGTTGCTGGCCAGTGCTGTACGGCAAAGAACCCCGTTGGTTTTGCTGCGATGATGCCTGTTTTCTTCCTGGCTGGGCTGTCTGTATGTGCGAGGGCCCCTGCCCCCACGCTCAGGACGAGGGCCGGCGCACATGACCGCCAGATGACTGCTTGCTTTGTACATAAGTGGCTTGTTGTTTCGTTGCGTTCCCACTGCCTCTGTATGCTATGGATTACCTCAGTCCAGTTTCATTACGAAGCAGGGAGCCCTGTGTAACGCGTTGCGGGGCGCTGTGTGATGGGCCGCCTTTGGAACGCGCAAGCCTGCTCTACGTTGTTGCTGCGGCCAGTGAAACAGCACATGCACAGCGCTTCACCCATGGTCAACCGTTTGGGAATGGTCAACGCCAAAGCGCAACCTGGGGGAGAGGAGGTCTGTCGTCAAGGCACGTGCACTGAGCAAGCCTTGGTGGCATTGGTGCGACAGTCAGCACACAGGCGCCAGTACCTTGTGGATACGCTTGCTGTGATGCGACTGTCAACAACAAAGTGGCCAGGCGTAACCGGGTGTTGCGACAGCGTGTTGGGTGGCCCATGCTCAAAACAAACAAGACAATCACTGGGTCTGATTTGCAAGCTGATCTTACTCCCATTCGCCTAGATCGCTCGGGTCGCATGCAGGTCCGATCCAGCAGCTCGACGCAGCTGCAACGGCGCGCGTTTGCATCTCCATCAATCAGGTAATACCCATTTCCGAGCGTGGCCATTGGATGTCAGCCACACACAAACTCACACCACCCGGCGGCGTACGCTCTGCACAGGCGGCGGCGTGCTGCGGTGGTCAGTGCAATGGCAGTGCAGCCGGCCACCCCTGGGAAGGCAAACATATTGGTGGTTGCTGGCAAATCATCGCCGGAGCTTGAAGTGCTGGAAAAGCTGCCGCCGGGTGCCAAGTGAGCGCGCGGCGAAGCTGCCGTGGCGTTGGCGGCGCGCACGCTGCCCGGCTGTGGCACGCCGTGAACGCCAAAGGCAGCGCAACCCATGTGCACCCATGCACATGCGCGCACGAGGTGGAGCAGCCCGTTTTTTCACTCTTCTGTTGATGGGAGCGCTCCCTCGGCACCCAACCGACTGCCCCCCCCCCTCACCCCCCCGCCCCTGTCAATACACCTGGGGGCGCCAGGGTGCTGGCTGTCGGGCAGACAGTGGAGGAGCTTGACGCCCAGGGGCTGGACTGGGGCGCAGTGGACGTGCTGCTCAATGCCGGCGTGCTGAAGAACGCCGGCAAGAAGGAAGAGATCCAGGTGCGGGGACAGATCCGGTTGGAGGGGGCCGGGCGGCGGATCGGTCGGCGTGCGCAGCAGTCGAGGCTGGGCGGAGCTTACATGCAGACGGGGCGGTCGATGTCAGGAATGGTTTGAGGTAGCATAGAATGTGTGTGTGTGTTTGTGTGTGTGTGTGTGTGTGTGTGTGTGCGCGTGCGCGTGTGCGTGCGTGCGTGCATGAGTCGGAGGGTAGGGTCGTGGATCAGAGGGAGCACGTTGGCCTGCAGAGACGAACCCGTGCAGTCAGGTGGCGGTAATCTCTGTGACTCACCATCATGTCACCCTGCGTATCACCTCACCCACCCCTGCCCCTCGCCCTGCACCCCGCACCCCGCGCCACGTGCTCCCCACA